TACAGGTGAAAAAATTATTAAATGAAGAGAGGGGAGGGAAACGAAAAGAAAATTTTTTTTTAATTGAAAAAATTTCATGAATTAAAAAGATAAAATTGATTGATAAGATGATTGATGATGATTATTATATTGTATAAATTATATAATGAAATCGTTGCTGTTGTTGTTGTTGTTGTTGTTGTTACTGATGTTGTTGATATTACTATTTGATCCTAAACCTCGAGAACTTTTTGTTTCTACCACAGCAATTGATTGTGCGAGAGAATTCTTTCGTAATATTTTATTTGCCCTTCTTCGTTCTTTGGATGCCATTGCCTAAAATTTTTTAATATTTTATTATTTGTAACACATGCAAACATTTACACATGTAACACACAAAAATATATAAATGTACCTCTGAACTCATTCCTGCAAATTCTTCTTCGCCAATTATTCATTTCAAGTAATTTTTTGATAATTTGATCAATCCAATTGTTCTGTTATTCTTTATATATTTATGTTGAAATAATAATGCATTATTATTATACAAATTATAAAAATCCACAAAAATCCACAACAACAAAAAAGGAATCACGACCTAGAATGGCAGCACAATTTTCACCATTACATGCACCCAATTCACCTAGATGTAAGGTAAAGAATTATATAAAAATTTTTAAAAATTTTTGAAAAAATAAGCAAAATCGATTTATATATTTTTTAAATAATTTCAGGTGGAAGTATATGGCGAACCCAGAAAGCATGCTTGGGCAAAAGATTCTCAATGGGTTCGGTATGTTTTTTATGTATATTATGAAACGATAACTGTACAATTAATTAATTAAATTAATATATATTTTTTTAATATTTCCAATAAAAGTGAACGTAAAAGATTAGAAGAAACAATGCATCCAGGATTTAATGAAATTATACTGACAGATTCAAATACTCATAACATCTACGAAGGATTAAGTTCAAATTTTTTTGCAGTAATATATAATCCTGATACTAAACAACCATTGGTGGTCACAGCACCGTTGAGTGTAGTCTTAGAGGGAACAATAATGAAAATTGTAAAGATGATTTGTGGGAGAGATAATATCGATTTTAAATATTGGTTTCCTAATACTCAAGATGTACATTTGTGGGAAGGTGCATTTATAACTAGTTGAGTTACTTTTTATTTTTTCTTAATGAAGAAGACGAGATACTCGATTTTTGTTTATCAAGTTTGTTCGATTCCAATTAGGCACTACAAGATTAGTTTTACCAATTGAATTGATTAAATTTCGTGATGGAATGTAAGAATAATATATGTGTATATTAAGTTAATTAATAAACAAATTTATTGTTAATTCTAATTCCCAATGAATATATCTGTATAGGCCAATAGCAAAATTACCACCAAATAACGATACAGTAGAATACATAAAACAAGAAGTTGAAAAAGAAATTTTTAATAGAGCTTATAGAATATTAAAAGATGATGATTTAACGGAAAATGGATAAATTTAAAAAAATTTGTTTTATGTGCGAGTAAAAATCTTTATTTTTAAAATTTTGTTCACGAAAAAAAAAGATGATTTAATAATAATAATTTTTTTAATTAATTTTCTGTACAGGTAAAAAAATTATTAAATGAAGAGAGGGGAGGGAAACGAAAAGAAAATTTTTTTTTAATTGAAAAAATTTCATGAATTAAAAAGATAAAATTGATTGATAAGATGATTGATGATGATTATTATATTGTATAAATTATATAATGAAATCGTTGCTGTTGTTGTTGTTGTTGTTGTTGACTAGAATGTTGACTTTTACTATACCTACGGTTGCGGCGATTAATGGCCATGCTTTTGCTGGTGGTTGTATGTTAGCTTTAGCACATGGTAAGTTACTTATTTATATTAATATTTTGGTTTTTTTCTTAATATTATACTCACTTTTTTCTCCGTTTTCCCTCATTTGCAAAAAGATTACCGTGTTATGAGAAATGATCGAGGATATATGTGCATGGTAGGTAATTTATAAAAATCATGCCTTTATTTTTATGTTAATAAAATTTTATTTACTAATTAATTGAATATATATTAATTAATTATAGAATGAAGTTGATATTCCTTCACCTTTACATCTAGGCATGGCTGCGATTGTTAGAATTAAAATGACACCAAAAACCTATAGAGATTGTATATTACAAGCTCATAAATTCAGTGCACAAGAATGTTTAGATCAACAATTAGTTGATTTGATTGCACCACAAAAAGAAGTTTTACCTAAAGCAAAAGAATTAGCTTTGAAATGGTCTCCCAAAGCTCGTGCTGGTGCTATTTATGGTTCAATAAAAGAAACAATGTATGTGGAAGCTATTAATCATTTAAGTTTAAAATATAAATTATAGGAAAAAAACCTCAGTTTCATATAAATGATGTTTATTTCATTTTTTCATAAAATATTTATTTTGATCTATACAATAAAATAGATTTTGTTTTTTTGACCTAAAAAAAAAAAAAATTTTTTCTTACAGTAATTATAATAGACAATAATACAAATATAGAAGATTAGATCCAAACATGCTCAGAAAACCATTAGACATTATATCTAATTTGCTTCTACATCCAAAATTAACCTTAAAAAATTGCCAAATTGTTCAGACCAATTCTAGTTGATATTGTTAATTATAATAACACTAAAAGCAACCAATTATTTTCAAATAAGTTTACTTTTTGAGAATTTAAAAGGCTTGCTCTTGCTTTTACTCAATTATTACCAATAACTCCTCGACTGTTAAGGTAAGAAGCACATGTATTTATGTATTTGTATATAGAAAGAATTAGTTTAATTTAAAAATATATTAAAACTTATATACTTATTGGTAATTGTGATTTCTTTTTTCTATACCACATTCCTTACTAGAAGGGTTGAAATTATTTACATGAGGAGGTAAAGTTTACAATTAACATTTTCTGAACTGATCTAATGTTTAAATTAGATTGTAAAAAGACAATTATGATTGGTGACAATATATAGACATAAAGAAAAAATAAACAAGATGCATAAAGAAATACAAAAATTTTAAAATTCAAATAATACATCATACAGAGTTATTGAAAATTCTTACTGCATCATCACCAATAACATCACCAATGGATGCATCTGTTTTCCAAAAACCAAATTACCACAACCACCATTGATCTCATTCACTTCAAGTTTTTGCTCAATCTATGATCTGATGAAATGGTGGTGTCAAATGGATGAACTACTTTTAAGATCAAAAATTATTTTTTTGGTCACTCAACCAATCTCAAGTATGCATTATGATATTAATGAATAACATTAGAATGTTTAGTGAGGTTGCCAATCATTTTTGTGCCATGATTTCTGATTATTATTAGCAATCTTTCCAAAGATTTGACTTTGCAAGAAACGCAAAAAGGACTTAATATTTATATTGAATTTTCTGGCGTTGTACTGCGATTTGGTAGAATACATTAATTACTATTTACACATAACCCACTCAAAAAATCTTTAAACTTATTTTGGATGATATTGTTTATTAGCTTGTTCATGTTTAAATATCAACTTATTTAATATTAACCATTGGAGGTGCAAAATCATCCACATACCAATTATGGCAATGAACCTTTGTTTCAAGAAGTTTGATAATTTGCGTCAAATTAATAGGATAGAGAATGAGTTAATTAATTCCCAAGAACTTTGATACAAGTATGAAAATCTCACATACGATCTTGCTAATAGACTAAGATTATCTGATTAAAAACAATTTGAATTAATGCCATCTTTATATATAACTCTTTAGGTAAAGCTTTTTTGGCTTAGAAACTACACCCACTCTGCATGGTAAAGTTTTGAGCTATTTTCCTTTGAAGCTGCAAAACACTTCATTTTCACGCGTTTCTATTGAAAGGCCCTCAAAATGAAAATTTTTATTCCTTATATTGGAAGTGATTACTAACAAAGTCAATGAATGGGACCTATCCTATTCTGAAACCTTGGCATCTATATCAAAAGCATTTTCTCAACTTGAGGTTTGGAATATATCGATTGTTAACAAGACTTGTATTAAATCATTAATGGAATTAATAATAACCTTTTAGAAAATGCGAGAAATAATTATTATTACGGAAATGGTTCACAAATTAAAGAATTATGGCAAATTCAAATTATAATCATTAAAGTGTTAAAGCTCTGGTTAGAAAAACTGTGAGATTACAAATAATGGTTGATTTATTATTATCAATAATAAATTGGAAAATGATTCGTGAATCAAGTTAAATACAAATTAATTGACAATATAAATGGCATGATATTAATTATTAACTCTTTACCGGAAACATCAGCAGACGTATTGAGTCAATATTTAAATATAGTTGACCGAAATAGAAGTTAATCTTTATTTATTGCTTTGTTATGTGATAGCAAAAGAATTATTTTTATTTTTCCATTCAATAATAATCTGAATTACTAATGACAATTACAAAATTGAAGTCTTGTGTAGTTGATCATCCAAGTTATGTGGCCATGATTCAAACAACCCACTTTTCTTTTCATACATTATTTTTAATTTATATCAAAAATTAAATTTACCATAATAAATAATTATAAAAACCGTAATTTTGAAACAAAAAAAAATTCAGTACCAAAACTATTTAGAAAAAGTAAATCTTTGATTAATAAAAAATATATATATAAGCAAACATATAATAAATAAATTAAAATGATAATAATAAATGATAAGTTTCCTTCATAAAATTTTCAAAAAAACGATCACCAATTAACTAAACTAAACAACCAATCAATCTATAATTTTCATTCATTAATATTAAGTAAATATTCAATAGCTGCATTTACATTTCCACCAGAAGCTAATAATGCACGAATATTTTTCTGTGCATCCCAAAATCCCATATCATTTAATTGTTGCAATTGAACTTGAAATCTTTCTTCAGGTGGAACAGTGGATGCGGTTGTTGGTGGAACACCTAGACCTCCTAATCCAAATAGCAATGATGGGTCAATTTGGAAAAATGGTTGTTGTTGTTGCTGATTAGTGTTTGGGTTTCCAGTAGGATTCATTGTAGCAGCAGGATTAAGAAGACTAAGAAATGGATTAATTGGTGGTGGAATGGTGGTGGAAGGTGTAGTGGTTGTTGGTGTGGTAGTGTTATTATCATTATTGGTTGAAGGCGTAGTAGTGGTATTGGTAGTGGTGGTGGTAGTGGTGGTATTGGTGGTGGTAGTGGTAGGTATTGTAGGGTTTGTTGCGGAAGGGTTTGTAGGAAACATACCCATGCCATAACCTCCAGGATTCATTGATGGGTTTAAAGTTGCCATATAACGAATTGTGTCTGGGTTTGATAATAAAGCTTGGAATCCGGGATCTTGTATCAATTGTCTAAGTCGGGGTGCCATTTCACCAAATTGTGGGTTCATTGCAATTATATTATCTATAAACTGAGGATCCTGCATCATTTGTGAAGCATACTGCATCAAAGCAGGATTATTAAGAACTTGTTCCATCATCATATTCATATTTGGTATACCATTATTATTACCACCTAAATTTGGGACACCATATGGATTATTAATACCAAAATTTCCTCCACCTCCACCAAATCCACCCAGTGCTGCAAATGGATTAAGAGGTGCATTTTGTGGTTGTGTTGATTGGTTATTAGTAGTATTTGTTGTTGAAGTAGTAGTTGCTTCAGATTGCGTTGTTGATTGAGATGTTTGCGATTGAGACGAAGCTAACAGTTTTTTGAAATATAATTTAGTAATGTTCACATTAAATAATTTTATTGTAATATTCTGTTTGCTGTAAAGTAGAAAATAGCACATAATATATATCACTCATTCAACATACCACGAGCTCCTAAACTTTTCACCATGTGAACTGTGTGTCCTTCAGCAATCTTATAGGTTTCAAGAGTATCATTATCTTTTAACACTTTACCAGAGTATATTAATTTTTGTTTATCAGCTGGAATTTCACTTTTTTCTGCAATAAGCTGTTTAAATTCTAAAACAGTTTTTGATTTATCTGTAGTTACTGTATATTTTGTATCATTAGAACATTTGACCGTTATTGTTATTTCTGACATTTCATTATTCATTATTTTTTATTTTTACTAATTTTCAAATTTTATGGCATCAGTTGATCATTCAGAATTGTGTAACCAACCTTTTTTATAAAAATTGTGCTATTAAAGCTTTCTAATAAATCCTGATAGAAAGCTCCCTATGCAAAGCTATAGTTATTCAAAATAGCATTACTTTTCACTTCAAAGCTAAAAACATTACCTTTATAAACATGATGGGTAATTGAAAAAATGTAAAATAAGCCTGGCTTTATGTGGAATGTTGGTTATTAAAGTTTAGAGAAAATGGCAAAAAACATAACAGTCAAATGATTTGGGCCAAGATACATTTTCCATCACTATCTTCTCAATATGTGGGTAAAATATGATCAAATGATCAAGTCATTTTCAAAAGGCTCTTTTAAAAGTATTGTCAAGAATGGCCGAATTACAATAATAAATAAATAGATAGTGGTTAAGAAGTAATTATATACAGGAAGTTTTATTTTTATATTCTCATTATATGGTAAGAAGACTTATATAAATATCAATAGCACATAATATAAAGAAGGTAATGAAATACAGTCAGACTCCTATATAGTCACAACATAGTATAGTCACATTTTTTTGTTAATTTGAAAAATTCCCTGCTACTAATTAATCATAGT